AGGCCGCGCCCGGCGCTCCGCCGCCCGCGGCCCCCGTCGGCTGCGGCGTGAGCGGCTGCTCCAACCCCAAGAAATACAGCTGCTCCAAAACGGGCGTCCCTCTCTGCAGCCTGCAGTGCTACCAGAGGAACTTGCGGTTAGCCCGCAGGACTGGTTCTCGCTCTCCGGACACGGACAACCGGATAACATCACTTTGAGGAAAGAAGACTCGCTCCGACAATTCTCCAAAGGAAAGACAAAACGTTGCTCGCTTCAAGCGCTTGAGTCGTCAGGCCTAGTTGAAGTTTCCTGTTCAAGCAACACCAAGATAGTGGATACCTTGGACATGGGAAAGGGCACCATGTGCCCTGCCCCTCCCTTTCCTTGACTGCTTTCTTTTTTTGGTTTGTTTTTTTTCTTGCTAGTCAGAGCGCTTGCTTCTAAAAGGTTTCCCTTGCCTTATCCGAGCTAAGTGTAAGTGAGCGAAAAGTAATGAAACAACTGCAAATGAAAAGTGAAAATGTTAACGTTTGCGTTCACCGAGTCAAAACGAAAAGGCTTCGAAAACACGCGCAAAGCAACAAACTAGCGATTTGACTTAAACTAACAGACGACAAGTCTAGCGACAATATCCTTTGTGTTTGTCAATTCATATTACGTGAGCTCTCGGGGCGTTCATTGTGAAGTAGGGCATTGCGTCCGTGCAGAAGGATGGAAGGAAGGTCAAACAGTCGTTTGAGAAATTGAGTTTATGACACAATACGTAATCATCCATTTTTTCAACGACTTTTTTTTTTTTTCCAAATCTCACACTCGACAAACAACTCTGTCCGTTCAATTTCTGAACCGCTCCCCCTCACGAGGGCCGCTGGTGTGCCGGAGCCGACCGCAGCCGTCTTCTACGCCCTTAACAGGTCGCCAGCCAGTCGCAGGGCACACCCATCGACAAACAACAACCATTCACACGCACTCACAACATGCAACAATTTATCTCCCCCAAAAACTGATACCAAAACAGAGCATTAAAAAAAATAACGACGAGCTCTAAAAACAAGCCAATGTCAAAGCGATCGATCACGACCAATCCCAAAGCCATCAGCACAAGATCCAGTTTTGGCGACCAAATTCTTTGGGTCCAGTCGTGAGGTCACGTGACCAAACCGAAGGAGAGCCTGAAGGCCGTCTCCACGGGAGCCGGCGGCACCGAGTCATGAAAGCACACGTAGACCTCTTGAGGGACGGGCTCCGGCAGCAATCGCCTGCCGGAGGGAAACAAAGCGGCATACCGGTCAAACTCGACCGCGGCGGGACGCTTGCCTTCCGCAGTCGGTCGGACGTACCCGATGACCCAGTAAGTCAGGGTGGGAGCGGCTTTCCTCGAGCTTGTCCCGTTTTCGGGTACATGCTGGAACAGGACTCCGTGCTCTTTGACGCGGCTCGCGCCCCGAGGCCTCTCTGCCGACGGCTGGTCCTGGAGGGGAAAAGGTCACGCGAGACGACAGTTTTCCCCCAAATAATAACAGTTTGCGCTAGTGGGCGTGACCAAGGCATGGCTGCGTACCTGCTCCGGCGTGTTCTCTTTGAACAGCGCCCGAATGGACAAGCAGCAGCGGTAAAAGTTGCCAATCAGGGACGGGGGGATGGATCCGCCGAGCTGAGCCTCCTCCGTCGGCGTGGGCGCGATGAAGATTCCCCGGACCGTTTCCACCAGCACGTAATGGAACAAGACGCTTTCGGCGCCGGCGCTCAGCCTGCCGCGCACACGCAATGGAGACGCGGTCAGTTGGGCCCGGGCGGGTTGCGGACGCGGGCGAGAAAATGTGAGGACAACCAAACTTGGCGGACATTTGGTCCGGGTCCCTCCGACTGCGAGTCTTCATGAGCGTGCCCAGGTGGAACGGGGTCGAGGGCTTCGTCCGCTGGATCTGACGGAAACAAGTGCGACAAGCGAAATCTGGGCGGGCTGTGCGCTTGCTTTCTCTTGTGTCATTTCGTGACTGAAAGCAGGGTGGTACAGTGCAGTCTCCTTTTTGTGTGTGTGGGGGGTCCAGCAGCAGCAGATTTTGCTATTTCACAAATCACGGGAGTCTTCCAAAAACCTTTCAGTAGGATTAACTGGGTATGAAAGGCCATTTCGAGGAAAGGTGTCAAGTTCAAGTTCTTTTTTAACTTTTTGCCCGCTCCTACTGAACATTTTGGCTCATCCCACAGAGGAAAAAGAAAAAAAATCAAATCAACTCAACTCAGCACCAACTGGTAACTTGACTCTTGCTAAGTAGACCCCCCCCCCAAAAAAAATCCTCCTTTTTCAATTTTGTCCTTCGTTTGAATTTCCATGAAAATTGAATTGAATTTTAAATTCAATTCATTCAAAAGAATTGAACAATGAAACTTTTTTGGCTCTTTTTCTGACTTTGTGCGATACTTTGCCCTTTATTAGTGAAGTTTATAGCGGCGAGAAATATCTGCAAAAAAATCCACCGATTTTTGAGCTTTTTTGGGGGGGGGGGCTTCAGTGTCGGTGTGAAAGGCCATTTCGAGGAAAGGTGTCAAGTTCAGGTTCTTTTTTAACTTTTCGCCCGCTCCTACCGAACATTTCGGCTCATCCCACAAAGGAAAAAAAAAAAAAATCAACTCAACTCAGCACCAACTGGGAACTTGACTCTTGCTAAGTAGACCCCCCCCCCCAAAAAAATCCTCCTTTTTCAATTTTGTCCTTCTTGTTTGAATTTCCATGAAAATTGAATTGAATTTTCAATTCAATTCATTCAAAAGAATTGAACAATGAACCTTCTTTTTTTGGCTCTTTTTTTGACTTTGTGCGATACTTTGCCCTTTAGTAGTGAAGTTTATAGCGGCAAGAAATATCTGCAAAAATCCACTGATTTTTTCGCTTTTTTGGGGGGGGGCTTCAGTGTCATTGCCTTTAGTTTGTGTTGTAATGCGTAAAAAAAAAAAAAAAAATGGTCTGCCTTTTGCTGATTTCAAAAGCAAAGAGTGAGTGTCCGATTCATCGTCGGGGTCCGATTTCCAAGCCTTTGATGCGATCGTTACCTTGAAGATGCCTCCGCTGGCATCAGGCGAGTCCTGTCGCCCGGCCAGCATCTTGGCAGGAGAACCCGAGCCGGTGTCGGCGTAGACCTCGCCACCCCGATCTCGGGCCTTCTCCCGAGCCAGCCCGTCTAGGCGGGCCTGGGACAGGCCAGCTTGCGGGAACCAGTCGGCGCAGAACAAGCGCGGAGCGGCGGCCGCGCTTAGGCGTTCTTCGACGGCCTCCTCCAGGGTCTCCAATCGTAGCAGCGCAGCCGTCACCTGCGGCCGCGGCGTCGGTTTAGGGTTCTGCCACCGATCCGCAAGCCATCATGTTGCTGCGAGCGGCCGCACCTGGTCCACATAAACGCGGTCGGGTCCCAGAGACGCATCGTAATGCGCCGCGCAGCCGCCGGCTTCCAGCAGCACGCACAGCCGCCAGCACCTCTGGCACGACAGGACACACACAGCCGCTCTTACGTACTGCCCGCGTCAACGTGGATGACGTTCCCTCAATAACCCAAAACCCACAAACATGAAAATGTCTTCCTTTTGAACTGCTGCGCTCTAAAGTTGTTGTTTTTTTTTTTTCTTCTTTTGAACGAGGCCTTTCTGGGTCAGATCGGAGCAGCGTGTCCTCAAATGGCGTTTCGATTGATCAGTGCGTTCAACCGAGGAAAATGGCGGGACTTTTTGAAACATACAGCGGCGTTAAAATCGGTCCGAGCGATTTTGCACGCAGCTCAATTGGAGGCATTCGAGGCATTTCTGAGCGGATGAGGCCCATCGACAGTCCAAAGATGGATTTTGGACTTTTGCACTAACCAGGGCCACGATGAGGAGGAAGTGGCGGCCGGGACGGGAGCGCTGAAGAAAGACCTCCCGCCAGACGAGCGTCTGGCCCACGCTGCGCCGGGACGCGGCGGGAGGCGGCGGGTCGTGGTGCCGCATGTACAGACACGCGTCCAGCAGGTCCTCTTGGGGGAGATGGTTGGCGATCAGGTGAGACTGTTGGTGACAAGTTCGAGCGTTTCCACTTGCAAGGAAAGAAGCCACCCGCGGACGCTTCCACTCACCTTGTAGAAGAGACAAGAGCCCAGGATCCCGTAGAGGCGCCTCAGACCAAAGAAGTCTTCTGACTGACGAGCAGGAGCGGAGGGGGGGGAGCATGTCAAGTGAATTTCCGCGAGTGACAACCCAAAAAAATGCAGCAAAAAGGCACCCCAGCTCACCATTTCTCCAAAATCCGAGGCCTCAAGGTCAGTGAGAACCGAGTCCACGTCTGTCTGTCGAGACAACCACAAGTTCCAAAGTCATGATGAGAAAACAAGGCCAACATTCAGACTTCCAGACATTATCTCAAAACTGACAATGTAGCACTAACATGCCCCCCCCCCACACACACAGCCTCCAAAAAAAAAAAAATCAGTAAAAGCAGGAGAATCATATCTATTTTTATTAATTGAAAATAACGGTCATGTGGGATATTATTCTGATTTCATCTTCTTCCTGATACAACAGAATGTCAATCTGGCGGTTGAACCCTTTCACTGGGGCGCTTTGTGGGGGGGGCTATTCAGCACAAATCCTGCAGCGCGGACACTTGAAAAAAAGAGCCTGTTCTCTTGACATTCTCTTTTTTTATGTTTTACAGGAAACTCCCGTGCATCACAGGTTCCATGTTTGCATTTTATTTCGTTCTGACACACGTTTATTTTGGGTGTGATTCCATTATCAGCCATTAGATGGTGGCACCTTTCAGTTTGACACTGTGTACATTTGAAAGAAGTTTGAAAAGACAAAAGGGTTTCAACCATACAAACCACACCGTCCTTTTTTTTTTAAAGTGTGGTCGCATGATTTGGTGTTCAAGGACCTTCAAAGAAAAAAGGCAAAGGCTCTGCCTGCAACGGAGGTGGGATTTCTGCATCATGTATTATTTTGACAACACAACGCGAACTGATGTCACGAAAGGACTGCGGCGCTTTGTGGAGCTGGAAGAGCCGAATGGCATTTCAGTTGCTTTCAACGGGGACCACCGGCGCAATCACTCACTTTGACTCGTACAGGCAGCGCGAGCCAGCGCAGGGCCGGCAGCCCGTCGAGGAAGATGCTCCTGCAGTTGTCGGTGGGCGGAGCCAAGGGGGAATCGGACGGCCGCATGAGTCGCAGGAAGAACAAGCGGAAGAAGCGGTCCAGCTGCGGCGTGTGCTCGGTCCTTCCGAAGGCCCTGCGGAGGCCCGGCGATCAAACGCACCGCCGAAAGGCGAGACGCGTCGCGCGCTTGCCACGCGTGACTGACCTGGCCAAGGATCCGTACATGACTCGTAAGGTCCGCACGGCATCGCCCACCAGCGTCTGCAAGCACGGCAAAGGAACCCTGGAAGGAAAGTTGACGCACTTCAGAGACGCTTGTCCCCAGAACACCGCCCAGGAACTCGGACTGGGAATTGTGATCCCCCCGCACCCCCCACCCCACCTTAGTATTGCGATTGAGGATGTGATTATGTTACTCAAGCATATCTCTCCATTCCTTTTTTGTTTTTGTTTTTTAAACACACACACACAAGCAATTAAGGAACCCACCGACCAACCGAGATGAATTTGACGACTTGCTCAGCCCTGCCAGGAGCCGGCGCGCGGCGGCCGCGTACCTTTCAGCAGGAAGTCCAACCACCAGCAGGGCATCGCCTTCCTTCCAGTAGCCCACGTGCACCAGATGCTTGTCCGGCAGCAGCAGCGTTGAGCTAAAGGAGCGGTCAAACGCGGGGGACAAGAGCGGCTTGAGTGAACGCGTCAAAAGGCGCACGAGCTTGACCGGTGCAAAGGGATCGGAACGTACGACTCCGGTCCCAAAGTACAACCGATTGTCAAATGACGGTAACGGTCAACAAATCATCCGGAATACACGAAAGAAATGCTGATGAAATATAAACCCAGTTGAGGTCCGCAGCCCGGAGTTCAAAGTAAACACGGTGAGGCAGCAACGGGCTGTTATGCCGCACGCACAGACGGCAGAATAAGCCGCCAGCGGCAGTGAAGTCAGCTCAGAGTGTCAATGCTTTTCTTTGGAAAGGCTCTTTTCAAAGTTGTGTTTTGAAGTAGGAGGAACACGCCGAGTCCCTTTGTGTTCTGAAAGATGCGACGGCAAAAAAGCTGCCTTGCCAAGTCTGGTGCCCGCAGTACCTGACAACGCGACCTCCCGTGACACTGTCCAGCATGTCGCACAGCGTCATGAAGATTCCCCTGGCGCCTTTGAGCCGCGCGGCCGCCTCCGACGCAGGGTACTGGTACAAGATCTCCTCCTGCGCACACCAGAGCCCAGAGCGCCGTCTTTTCACAGACACGCCGACACGAGACGCGGCTCCGGACGCACCTCCAGATGGACCTCGTCCCGCGGCGACTTGGCGTCCATTTGCAGCGACAGGTACATGACCGCGTGCGGGACGCCGCCGCCGCCGACCGGCCGCGGCCGGCATGCGTCCTCTCCGGGCAGCGGACGCACCGGTGGGACGACGGGCACGGAGGCCATGGCAGGGCAACCCGGTCCGGAGGCGCCGCCCGGATTGGTGGACGTCGCCAAGGTCAGCCTCACCTGAAGGAGGGCGAGATACTTCTCAACAAACGACACGGAAACTTGAAAAACAACGCGGGGGAAATAAATGGCTAGGTGCCCGCCAGATGGATGCCCGTAGCCCCGCCCCTTTGCACGCAACTGAGCCAAGGGGGTAACGAAGCCTTTCGTTTGGAAAAGTGGAGAATATGAGCAGGGGGAAAAGTAGCTGTGTGGATGCAGTTGGCCTCACACCTGAGTCGGTCCCAAAACGGACGCCAGAACTTGCTCGATGTTCTCAGAGCTCACCTCCACGTCGTCCACGGCAACAAGAACGTCGCCTACGGGGAACAGCAAAGTCGACGGCTTTCAGGAAACGAGCCGAGCAGGTTCAGGCCTCGTCGGGTGCCATGGCAATACCAGTTGCCATGGCAGCCTACTCTTAGTTAAGCTACCGAGCATATGATTTTAAAAGTCACTCAAGTAGAGTGCGAGTTACATTCAACAGATACTGACGACTCCGCTTTAACAGAAAATTTTGCCAATCCTTAACTGGAAGAATTTTTCTTTCCAGATTCACGTTTATTTTTAATCAAACCTGAAAAAACAAGGACCCTTTTTGACTTTAAGGTGAAGTCAACTCCCAAATTGTCTTGACACAAATTCGATGTTCGATGCTGATGGCAACGGCGCCCGTTTTCACCTCACCAATGAGGACACGGCCGCACTTGCTTGCTGGGCTGCCGGGAATCAGCCCGTCCACTGTCAGTCTTCCCTCCCGTCCAACCGAGGCACCGTCCGGCTGACACGGCAGACGCAGCACACCCAGCAAAGACTCCAGCAGAGGGAGCGCAGCCGAGCCGCCGAGACGTTTGGGGTTGAGGTAAACCAACACGGTCTTGAGCTGCGTCTTGAAGGCGGACACCCAGGGCATCGAGTCTTCCCTCGCGCCTCCTCGATTGCGGGACTCACGCCGCTTTCTCCCCGAGATCCGAGCCAGCGTGCTTCGGACGACCGCCGCCTCCTCTTCTTCCTCGCTCAGCTCCAAATAGAAAAGCTTGCCATTTGTCTGCGCGTTGTCCAGCCATTCGGGTTCCGGTTCACTGGAACAACACGAGTTCATTTACATTTTGGAACAGTGATAGTAAACTACATCTACCCAACATCAATATGCTACTGAACAGACAATCAATCAATTAATTAATCGGGGGGAGCAGGGGATCACTGATGTTGCACATTTTGAATTGTGCCACATTATTTACTCTACGGACGACTTGGAATTTCCAGCTTCAAACGTTATTAGTATCATTTGTTACTGGTTAAAAATAATGATCATTGTGCCAAATGGACAGGCAGTAAGCCCTCCTCCGGATTTATTTACGACATGAAAATGTTTTTCACAACTTCAAATGGGAAAACGAGCGAATATAAGACATTACTACTTGTATTAATTTTCTTTTTTTGTCTGTGCCCCATTGGGTGTGAATTTGAAATGCACCTTTGTCTATACTTGATTTTGTTTCGTTTTTTAAAATTAATTTTTCCTGCAAGAACCCCCGTTTTGATTGTCTTGCTTCTTACTCGTTCGGTGACGTAGCCGGCATGTTGTCCCCGCGACGTCCGAACAGTCAACAAAACAAGAGGCCAGCGCCAGCCGCCATGCCGGAGAAAGAGCTTCCTCGGAGTGCGGCGTCCACGGTGGACACTGCGCAGGCTTCTGAAGTCTCTCTTTTGGCAGATAAAACACTCAAGAACTTGGACTCGTTTCAAATTATCTTCCGCCGCCTTGAACATTACACTAGGTCGCGTTTATGACGTCATCGTCAGGCATAACTGCTTTATTATGAGTAAAAACCAAAATAACCACCGCAAAATGACCTAAATGTCCTTCTCATGCTCTTCCTCATGAAATCTATCCTAAGTGTCTGACATACTCCCGGGAGTTTGTCTGACATTCCTATCCAGTGTTGACGCAATGAAGTTGACTCTTGTCCTGCTTCCGGTGCACCGGTTTTAACTTCCCAGGAGGAACATGAGTTGTAACAAATATGAACGTCGTCTTTTACTGAAATATAATACTATTTTGTATTCAGAAAAGAAGATTGGATTTTGACTAAATAACGGCAGGTGCACCGGTTTTAACTTCCCAGGAGGAACATGAGTCCTTACAATTATGAACGTCGTCTATTTTACTACTAAAATATAATACTGTTTTGTATTCAGAAAAAAAAGATTGGATTTTGACTAAATAACGGCAATTACTCGTGAAATTGAAGACGAAGACCTTTTGAAAACGTAACACAATTTCGGTTTGTCTGGCTATCTGTTACCTGATTGGCTGAGGCAGCTGGTGTACGTCCTCTACATGCGACAATCACGTTGTCGAAGAATTGATTTGGTTCAGGTAGAGATTAAAAAAATGCCTCCTTTCCAACATCGGAAAGGACAGCGCTGTTTAAAATGGCTTCGACCCCACTTCTCCTGAGTTTTTTGAGGTTTTGAAGAGGCCGCTTGTGTTGTTGTTGACTTGTTTTCTTTTTTTTTCATCTGTCAAGTTCGATTTCGAATACGACTACTATTTATGCTCAGTCTAGCACGCGAAAATGACGGAGATTGTATCAGAGTCGAGCGAAGAGCAGACACGTGGAGTTTGGGAGATGATGGAGCTGCTTAACATCGACGTGCTGGAGGAGGAACGAGCGGAGGAGCCGGAAGATGCGCCGCAGGCCCCCCTTTCAGTAAATATAGCAGCGATGACCGTGCTCGCTCCCCTCCTTTCTCCGCCGCGGGTGTTTGGCAGTTGATGACAGAAGCTTGTGTGCCGTTGTGCGTGGTCAGAAGAACGCGTCGAGGAAGCAACGGCACTGGGAGAGGACGCTGGCTGCCAGGAAGAGCAAGAGAAGAGAGGAGAAACGCAGGAGGAGGCTCAATCGGCACTCGGGTAAAGACGGCAGCAAAGAAAAGCGCACGCTCGCTCCTCTCCTAACGTGTTTTTGCGTGTCTGAAAAGAAGAAGAAGAAGACACGGCGCACCATCAGCTCAGCAAGCGAGCCGTGAAGGCCGCCACCCGAGAGCGTTTGGCCGAGGCTCGCGTCAGTGGCCTCAAAGTGTGCGTTGACCTCAGCATGAGCCACCGCATGTCCGACAAGGTGCGCGCAACTCTCTCAACATTCGCCCTGCGCGGGCACAACTGTTTGCCACGGCGACTTGATAAGCCGAGCGGCTCTCTCGCGTTGGCAAATCGTTTTGGCGCTCTCGCACGCAATGGATTCCGGGAGCCTCGTTGGGGAACGCCAGGCCCGAAACTCAACCGTTCCGATTTGACGCGGTCGCGCGTGTTGTGCCGCAGGAGACGAGCCGACTGGCAGCTCAGTTGCGGCGGTTGTACGGATCCAACAGAAGGGCGAGCAAACCCTTCCGTTTGTTTCTGACCAGCCTTCGGGAGGACAGTCGCCTCCTGGCGGAGTGCGTGCGCATGAACGACGGCTTCCTCAACTACTCGGTGAGTCGCCGTCACGGAGCCCGAGGTCGGACTCGCCGAGTCTTTGGCTCCGCGTCTTCACCAAACCTTGTTGTTTCTCGTGAATCTCGAGTCAAAAGTCCAACTGGAAGCTTTGACTGAGTTTTGACCGAGCGAGTCTGCTCGTGTGACGATCGCCGTTCCTCCTCACAGCTGGAACGAACAGAGCAAAGCTGCCTGGACATTTTCCCTGCAGAAAGCGTCGTCTACCTCTCGCCCGACGCCCAAGAAGGTTGTTGAGCGGGAAGGTCGGTTGCCGAAGCCCCGGGCGGCCACACTCAACACTTCCGATGTGTCCTTTCAGCTTTGGAGCGAGTGGACGGCGACACGGTGTACGTCCTCGGAGGCCTCGTGGACGAAAGCGTGCAAAAGGTGGACCAAAGCTTCTTTGTTTGTCTGTTTGTTTCGACGGCCCTTGAGGAGCAACCGCAAGTGAAACGAAGTGCTGTTCTTTGTTACGCGGAACGGGCGGACCTTTTTCAGCGGCTTGACTTTTATTTCTCGCTCAGTGATATCCAGCATGTTTTTCCATTTCTAACGAAGGTTATTTGATGTGTGCGCGTTGACCCGGTTGCAGGCGCTGAGTCTCTCCCGGGCCGAAGAACTGGGCGTCCGCGCGGCCAGGCTCCCGATAGACGAACACATGCGGAAGACGCCCAACGGCAAGAACTTCCACTCCAAGATCTTGGCCGTCAATCAAGTCTTTGACATCATGCTGGCCGCGTACGACACGGGCAGCTGGACGCTCGCGCTCGACAAGTGCTTCCCCCGGAGCAAAGGTTATGCGGTCGCACCGCAGGGCCACCTCGCCAGCAGCGCTTAAGACTTGACGCAAATGAAGACACGTTGTTCTCACTTTCAACACTTTTGTTTTTTTTTATTTGAGCCACTGCCGGCGAATAAAAACCGCTGATCGGAACATTTGCTTGACAAGCTTTCTGGTATATAACTTTTGATGAGTCGCGTCGATCTTCACAAAAGCAAGCCGGCCCTCACGCCGGCCTCCGGGAAATCACGGCGGCCCGCCGATGGAGCTGCTTCTCGAGGACGAAGTGAACCAGCTTCTTCACCCACCACGACTGAGGGTGCAGGCAGACGCGCTCGCCGCTCACCAGGGTGGCTCTGGCCCGAAAGATGGACATCAAAGCGCACGGTGACGTTGATTCGGGGTGGGGCAAAATATCACGATGAACCGCGTTCTTTTCGTATCCTGATATTATTGACTTTAAACTAGAGCGCTAAATGTAAAGGAGCCCCAGATGAGTCCCTTGCGGCACTCCCACGAGGAGGTTTTCCGCTGCTGCGTGTAAAGAGTTACCGTACTCACATGATCTCGGTCTGCGTGCAGTGCGGCCCCTCGGGGACCAACTTGATGCTGCGCAAACTGTCCGGCGGGATGATCCTGGTCTCCATCCGCAGGCAGCCGCAGCGTGTGTTGTAGTCGCGGCTGATGGGCGGCAGGCCTGTCGTGCAGATTTGACAGTACTTTGGGAAGAAACCCCTGACCAAAACCAAACAATCATTTTCCAGCCCGCTTTTCCTCATTACGGGTCGTGGGTGAGCCGGACGGAGCCGATCCCGGCTCATTTTTTGGGGGGATGGTGAGAGTCGAGGTACGCCTTGGACCGGCTGCCGGTCAACCCCGGGGCACGTTTCCCCAAAGGGAAATCCACAGCGGTCACAGAAATGTGGGATCGCTTCAAAAAAAAAACCCAAAGGTTTGATGCGAAAAAGTGAGCTTTGAATTCAAGTTTCAGGAAAAGGAAAAAGGGATGATATTTGGCAACGGAACTAGATTCAGCAGTGGAATTGAGAATAGGGCATCAAGAAATTGAGGTTTGGATTCAAAAATAACTTTTTTCATCGTCCAAATCATCCCAGGTACTTCTGTGACTGCCGTCGGGTTTTCTTCAACTGACGGCCGCCGCTTTTGTCCGCAGAGACACGCCAGCGTTCACCGACGGCTCGAAGTACAATTTGTGTGTTTTTGGAATGAGAAGGAAGCCGAAGGCGCTTGCCGTTTGCAAACCAAGCGGAGAGGAAGAAATTCTCTTACCGCCGCAGACGGCCAGCAGGCTCCCAAAGGCGAGCAGGGCGCGGAGCTCCATGGCGCCGACTCCAAGGCGTGTCGGCCGCCGGCCTTCCCGCCGCGCTATTTGAGCGCCGAGAAAGTCACGTGAGCGTCAAGCCCGCAAAGGAGCGGTCGGATGGCTTCACGTGCGGCGATTCGTCACGGGATGACGGCGGGCCGGGAGAAGGCCTCCTTTCAAGTTGAGCATCGCAGCACCTCGGGGATGACTCGGACCCCGGCCTGAAAGTTTCACTTCCTCCTCCTTCCCCCCTCCCAGCAAAAATACCAACAACAACCCCCTGACTCGACCCGAAAGAGGAAAAACGGTCACCAGATGAAGCGAGCGAACAAAAACAAAGCGGGGAATTTCCTCCGCTCGCTCGCGGCTGTGGGAAGGGATGAAGTCCAAATACTTTGTGACGACCGATGGGACTTTTTTTTTTTCCTCTGTCGATGACAAACAAAGATACTTGTGCTTTGGACTCCTCATGGGGGTAAACGAGGCTCGCTGCTTTTTTCAACCTTTGCTCTTCCCAATGCCGCGACTGCGTCTGCTTTCCTTTTCCGCTACGTGGCTTCGTTTTGCTCATGCACGACGAAATGCTTTCAGAAGGACACTTCAGGCGGAGTATTTTAAGCCTCCGTCCCCATTCAAGTGCTTGTCTGGGGTAACAAGATAACAGGCCAGCGGGAAGCCGCAGTTTATGTTTAGCGCGTCCTTCGCGTCAAGTCATGATGGATGCTTCCGCAAAAATTGAGTTTGTCTCCCCCCCCAACTGCAAATTCCCGCCCGTGCCTTCTACTGGTCCCCCAATCCAAGTATGTGTCCTCACGCGAGTGCTTTTCCACCCCTGCTTATTACCGTATTGAACATATGAGCGGCAAGTTTCACATCCTTATTCTTGTCGACCCCGCAGTCAGTCGTGGCCTTGTGGACTCATGACAAGCGGTGACGAGCAGGTCAGAAACGTGGCTTGATCATGCAAAGCCTCAAGAGAAATGAACCTCATGACTTCAAACAAGGACCTTCAGATCACTCACAAAGCAGCCCTTTCCTTCAGCGCTGCGCTCTCCAAGTCGGAAGATGTCACCGGGGTGACAATAAGGCACTTGTAGACGCGGGTTGGTTGGCCGCCGGTGGCAAATTTATTTCGCCAACTCACAACGGCAGCGCGTGGCGAACACAGCAGGGAGCCGCACGTTTCCTCAGGCCTCAACGGTGAGCGTGACCTGGCCGTGCACCTGCCTGAGAGCGGGACAGTCCAGGGTGGCGATCAGCCTGCTGGTTCCCGCCCTCTGCGGGGTGAAGAACTCGCTCCAGATCAGAGACGCGCCTCCGGTGATGAGCCTGACAACGAGGTAGCAGAGGCGCGAGTACATCACACACGCGTGTGGGTCCCCACAAGGAAGTTTCATCGCCTTGGAATTTGATGGCCGCGACGCATTTGAAAAAGGCCGCGACGGGGTCGTGTTCACCGGTGGACGTTGCACCACCTTTGCTTTGGGAACCGAGGACGCTCACCGGTGAAGCTTTGGAGGTGCGCTTCTTTCACAGTCTCGTTCTTTCCCGTATGTCACGCTTCAGTATGACTTCAAATAAGGACCTTCGGATCACTCCCATTTGCCACATGTTTTCAACGAGAGACGGGTCTGGACTGCAGGCAGGGCCAGTCTAGTACTCGCACGCTTTGACGACAAAAGAGGCCACGTTGTTGCGAGACGTGCAGAATGCGCTTTTGGCCTCGTCTCGCTAAAAGAGGCATGAAAAAGGCCCCGCTTGGACGACGGCACGTTTCTCCGAAAAAACGGCACGACTGGCGCCTTCACAGATGCGTGAGTTCGCCATGCCAGCGGCACCAACGCAGCCCCGTAGCATCACAGACGCCGGCTTCTGAACTTTGCGTCCAGAAGAATCCTTCTGGGGGGTCCTTCCCCCCCCTTGGCCCGGAGGACGCGACGTCCACAATTTCCCCAAAACGATTTGAAAACGGGCGACTGTCGCGCGCCACCCCTGCGGCGCGGCCAGAAGGTGACGCGCTCACCTGAAGTATTTGGACTTGGGAAGCATGAGTCCGGCTCCTTCCATGCGAACGTAGACCTCCTCCAGGCTGGTGCCGAGGGGGTTGGTGAACTCCACCGTGGCCATCATCTCCTCGCTGACTTTGGCGCGGCCGCTCACCTGACGGCGGGCCGAGACGCGGGATGGGCATACGGGCGGGCCATCGCCACGCGACATCGGCGCGCGCCTTACCTTGACGGTGAGCGCGGGACCGTGCAGGCGGATGAGTTTCATGGCGCTGATGATCTGTCCCGTCTCGGTGACCTTCCCCGTGACGATGAAGTGCAGGTTGGACTGCTCCACCAGCGCCTTCATGTAGCGCTCGGCCTCGACGCTCACAGACTCTTTGGCGACTGCGGAGAAAAGGCGGCGGCGGCGATGACCGCATCTCCCGAAACAGGGAGCGCGCGATCGACCTCGCTTGCGCGGACTTACATCCGGCCGGCTCCATCTTGACCGAGGGGGTCGCGAAGAGGAACTCGGAGCTGACGAGGCCGGTGTAGTAGACCACGCTGCCGCTGACGTACGCCTCCACCGTACGCCGAGCGCCGCTGCGATTGACGAACTTCAGAGTCAACTCAAAGTCATCGCCGACGCCGGCCTGCACGTAGGACAGGACCAAGTCGACGTCCCCCGGGGGCAGCTCCGCCTTCTCTCTTTTGCAGCTGTACGCCTCCGCTTTCTCCAGGACGGTGCGCTCCTCGGCGCTGCCTTTGTCGCGGTTCAAAGTCGCGTTGGCAAATAAACGGCTTGCAGATGACTCGATTTGACAAAAAATGCACACGCGGCAAAGAGCGGGTCGAGCGGCGGCGGCGGCGGCGGCTTCGCACGCACCTTCGGGGAACTTGTACTGATCGGTGACGTCGCGGCGAGTCAACCCACCGGGAGCTTTGGTCAAAACCATGCGGCCGACGTGGCTGCGATTCACCCTGACCGGCTCCATGCTGCCATCCTTCCCCCGGGAATAAAACACCACGTCGCTGTTCACCTGCGGCCGCGCCCACAGGAGAGTGCGCATGGAAACGCCGATTGTGCCCACCATCGCATCCTTCATTGACATTTGAACCTTTTGTGCTAACAAAAAAAGTTTTTCTTTCTTTTTTTGCAACAGCAAAGAGGCCAAAGGTGCAGGAGCTCACATGAGTCATTTTTGTAAATACTTGTGACCTTTTCATGGCATAACAGCGACGAAATGACACGGGACCTCAAAATGACTCAACGCGGCAATTCATATCGAAACCGCTGGCAGCAAAAGTGAGTCTGACGACCGATGGGACTGAGCTTTTTTTTTTTTATTATTATTTTTTTTTTTTTTGCGCATCGGCCGCTGTCGACGTGCGGAACGTGGAGGAGGAGTATCAGCTCGGCTGAACGCCATTCCCGAGAGGGTCGGGGCAGCGCGGAAAAATGAATATTTTTCACTCGAGGGTCTCCTCACTTTTGTCGCCAATCATTTTTGGTTTCGACAGTGAAAGAGAGCCACCCACCTCCGCAAAGACAAAGGCGGCATCAAAGGGGAAGCAGACTTCGCCGTGTTTGATGGCGCGGACGGACGCCGGGCCGCATCTGTACAAGCCTTGATGGGATCGGGGGTGGGGGGGGGGGTTGCATCATTCCGTCTCAAGAGCGAGGCGACATTTGCCAAGGTCGGTCGGCATTTACCGTCGCTGGTCTCCTGCGGTGTGGCATCCACGACCTGCCAGCCCCCGAAGCCAGGCGGGAGGTCCGGTCTGGACATGTAGCACTCGTTCCAGCAGTGATAGTTCCTGGCAGCGGCGAGCGGAGAGCCGACGTGAGCGGCGCCGACACGCACGCGTGCGCACGAATAGCCAGCGAGGGCAAAGCTACCAGATGGAGTCCCTGGTGCGGCTGCGATCTACCCGGCCGTTGTCATCCAGGATGATGTCCGACTTCAGGTTGCCGTCGTTGTCGTGGGCCGAGTAGTAGTTGGTGACGACTCGCGACGGTATCCCCAGGCAGCGCAGGACTGCCGAAAGAGAACCGGACCATGAGCGCCAACTCTCTCTTTTGGAAGCGTTCGGCTTCGTGGCCATCTACGTGGTCCGCTCTCCGAAAAGAGCGGCTTGGAGTCCATTTGCCGGTCTCCGTCGGGCGCGCGACGCTTTTTTTTTTTTTTGGGTTGCCGCCGAGAGCGAAATGCGCAGGGCACTCACAGGTGTTGAAGACGGCGGCGTAGACCCAGCACTGCGCGTAGCACACGGGCATCTTGCTGCTGGCGTAGGTGAGGAGGATTTCGGTGCTGCCCGTCCAGGCCGTGGGCGCCACGCCGTAGGTGTAGTCGCCGCTCCAGTTGCCCACCAGCACGCCGTCGTCGTCGCGAGAGTCGAGCTGCGTGCGGCACAGGCAAACCTTTGACTTCCGACGGTGGCGGACGACTAAAATGAAGACGTCGCTTTTTCCACTCGAGTAATCAAACTGAAGTTCCTTCTTTCCAAGGTCATAATGCGCTAGCGCACGGAAGGTCTCGACTTCGACTCGACGGGCGGCTTCGCTTTTTTCAATGAGCTTTCTTTTTTGAGAGCCTACGCTAATCAAAAGAAGAAGAAGAAAAGCAAACTTGACTCTGGAATTTCTGCACCGCCGATTCAGCGGCGAAAGCGGGGGTCGTTTTTAGGCGGGATGGCCCGAACGTCACCACGGCGGTCACTGACTTCGATACACTGATCAAGTAAGCGCGTCATCTGTCGAGCCAAGTCACTCGGTGGCTCTTTGGCGGCGCTGACCATGGCGGAAGCCCTTCTGGCCACCTTGATGGGGTCCCCTCGGTTGACCAGGGGCATCTCGCACCTGTCCAGGATGTACAGGCACGCGTCCAGAACGCCGTAGTTGAACTGCACGCACAAGAGACAAATCGGAAAAGGATCAACATCTGAACTCATTGAGTGCCAAAGCGGCAAATTGCGTTCTTTTCTTTTCCTTTTTTTTTTTTCATAAAATGGCTGTGCGCAGGTCCTCGGTGAGTATCAAGGCGAATGTCAAGGCTTCGGGAATGAGCACCACTAGATGGCAGCAGTGGCTTTGAGCAGATCTTGGTCCACACTTGGTGTGAGTGTGTGCGTGAAAATCCAAACGAATCAATCCATTTCGACGATGACGCAACTCTTGACGTGAGAGTTGTTGGGAGCGCACCTGGCCGTAGTTCCAGTGTCGCTCGGCGACGTCGTCATGGGAGCCGTGGTAGATGATCCCCGTCTCCGTCGTCACGCACTCGTCCCGCTCGACGGCGTCGTCCAGAAACACGGCGTCAGCTGACCAAAGACACGGATGCGTCAACACGCTCCGGCGCACGCGCTCAAACACCACACAATTTGTTTTGTTGTTGTTGTTGGTGGGTTTTTTTTTTTTCCCCCGCTGGCATGAGCTGCTGAAGTGCACACCCCCCTTTAATACTTGAAGCGCTCAACGCGGTGCACGCAAATACTCTCGTAAGCGCTACTAAAATGCTCTCGTAGCCACAAGTGAAATTGTCTCCGACACATGACTTGCAACTTTTCTCATCTGCACTCCAGCAACACCCTCGCAGCAACGACTGGCATTTTTGTTTCACCCGCCTTCCCCACTGAACCGCTCTCACAGTAACGACTGAAAGCCGCCCGTCCGCACAACTGGAATCTCCTCCTGCGGCCAGTGAAGGGATGCCAGAGGGGGGGGGGCGGTGACGCGCTCCCTCTTTATACGAGTACCCGTCAAGAGGCGAGCGGCGGCATTTTGGAGCAACTGGAGTGGAGGATTGGCCGACTCCAAAGAAAAGTGCGTTCCGGTCATCCGGCGCGTCTCGGCAACACTCCCGCGCAAAGTAGCTCAATTTCTCCTTCCTTTACGGGAGCGCTGGCCGCATTTCAGCACGGAGGACGACGTTGGCGGCATCGAGACGTATTCCGGCCAACTCGAGGATGAGGTGCGGGAGCGCGAGAGAGGCCGAACTCACCCGCCAGCCAGGGGTTGAAGATGACATAGAGGGCGCGGCTCTTGTCCGGCTTGGTCCTGCGGACGCCGTACGGGGTGGCCACGGCCACGTACATCTGGTACTTGCCCACGATGCAGTTGGCGGCGGGCGTGACGCCCATGCGCACCACGTTGTCCGAGGTCTGGATGACGCGGCCCAGCCACGAGCCCCGCGGGCCCTGGCCGGGGAAGACGGGAACGTACGTGTTCTTGCTGTACTGAGGATTGGAACCTGGGGGGGCGGACGGTCGTGCGGTTAAAAGGGATTCTTTTGCCGGGATCCAGCGCCCCGGTGCGTGGTGGGCTCCTCGCTCGCCGATCGGAGCCGGCAAATGACTCACCGATGACAAACTCCACGGCAAACTTGTCCTTGTTGGGCTGGTAGGGGCGGTCGAAGGCGATCTCCAGCTGGAACTCTTGCCCTCGGCGGACGATCAGATAGTTGCTCTGGTAGGCGGCCGTGTGGTGCGCAATCGTGTTGCCCTGCTCTCGTTTCTTCATCAGGTCCACGTCCCAGATGTCCAGGAACTCTGAAGTGATGCGCAGGTACAGGCACAGGCACAGGCACCGTTTCATTCCCGCGCCCCAAGCGCCCCAAGCGCCGCCACGAAAAGACGTTCCGTTTCCGGTGCTCGCGCGCCACACCCGCAAATTCAATCCCGGACGCCGGCCGAACCTCGAAGTAGCCTCGACTTTGGGAAATCATTCGGTGCACGTCGGTTCTGTGCGACTTTTTGACCCCATTTATTTTGGCTAACTTGGAAGAAGTATTTGGAGGAGCGTTTGGATGACTGGATGGCAGTCTTCCGGTCGATTCAGAGGAGTTTGGTAACTTGGAGGAAGAATTGGAGCACATCAAGGAGTCGTGACCTTACTTTGACGGAGCGATTGACAACGGTGGATTTGACGTGTTCGGCCACTTGTTGGTCGCGTTCCAGTGGATTTGAAAGAACTTCGCTGACGTGGTTTTTGGGCGTATTTCGGGTGACTGAAGAGTAGCTAGCTAGCTAGGTCACTTCTGTAAAGTTGGATGCAAATGCCACAGCACGGAGGGCACTTTATCGGTGGGATTCCCGCAGCTTCTGAATAGGTGATCTGACTTTCGCTGGATTTCAAGAGGAATTAGGAAGTCCTTGGCGACAGCTGCGACTATTGAGATTGCCGTTCGGGAGTATTTCGGTGGACTGAAAAGTTGTGAGGTCACGTGTGGCGGCACGATGCCAATCGAGTGACCCGTTTGGACCACGATAAGGCACGGCAACTACCGGCTGTCAATCCCGCCCGCGTATCTGCCCGCCCGGGCGTCCGAGCGTGATGAAGCGACGGGCTGCCGCGGCTCAGGCGCACTTGAGCTTGTTTGACTGACGGTCGCCCTGTCACTCATGTGAACAAACTCCGGCGTGTTTCCCATGCGATAAGAAGTCGCGCCGATCAGCGGAGGTGGCAAAAATACTCGGCCGCCGTATCTAAGTCGAGCAGGCCTGTCCAACTCATTTCTTGTCGAGCGCCACGTTGTCGTTCGCGTTCTCCCTCGGATAAACATCCACAGCGGACAACAAATGGATGGGGAAGTTGTTTTGACATCAGTAGACAAGAATCACGGATTGTTCGTTCCATGTGACAAATTGAAATTTGGGTTTCAGAATTTAGCAAAGCATCGCGGAAGTTGACGTGCTTGAATCGCTTTCGCGGGCCACATAAAATGAGGTGGCGGGCCAGGTCTGGCCCTCGGGCCTTGACTTTGACACCGGTGAATCAGAGGCAAAAACAAACCCCAAAAATAAAAGCGTCTGGTCAACGTCGTCGTTTCGAGTCAAGTTCAAGTTCTCAACGGTGCTTGCAGAGGCGCGTCGGGCTGGAAGCGGCGTGAAATCCGGCAGGACCCGAGCGAGGCTCTTCAAAGCCATTTTGTTTGCCATCGGCAGCATAAAAAGGAAAGCGTCGCGCTCACCAGGGGGGCGGTCGGAGGTGTCAGGTTGGCCGGACATGTCGACGACGCTTGACTCGCTGAGGACCGCGAGAGAGCAGAGTGAGGACGGCCGAGGCTCGGGAGAACGCCGAGGACGGCTCGGCTTCGGTTCCGATGAGCGCGCTCGTCATCGCTTTCGTGGCGGAGGGGCCCGGCCCGTCTCTTTTGCCGCCGGCTTGCTTCTTTTTGGAGCCGGCGGATGGTTTTGGGGGTTTGGCTTCACTTACCGAGGCTCGAGGTTTCTCTCTCGGGAAAACCGTGCGGGCGCACGCACACCTTGGATGTCTCCCCTCCCTTCCCCAAAATGTTTGCAATACAGCCAATGCGAGTCAGGGGCGCGCGGGGGTGTTGTTTACTCTCTTGCTGCGTACACCAAATAGTCCACACAGTCAGCGCTTGGCATTCGGTTCAGGGACGCGCATGCTCCCAATTATCCTCGCAGGCAAAGTCAAGTGAACTCCGCAGAGCAGAGCAGAGCCGACGACGTGCTCGGCCAACCGCAAACGGGTGTCAACCGCGCTGGAGGGATGCCCCGGCGCAGGCGGCGGCTGTCTGTAACGGGCCAGTGCTGGCCTTCTTTTACGGTGACGGCGACTCGTGGAGGCAAAAAAAACAACAACCCCTCCCAAAACTACGACATTGAGTAAGTAGTGGGCGCGACACGACCACAGGATGACACATCGGCGAGTCATCATCCGCGTCAGGAAGAAAGGTCTCGGTCCACGTCTTTTGGGCATGATGTGAAATGAGGTTTTAGAGAAGTGCTTTAGCTGCCAGTACTTGGTATTGGGCAGGACTCAAAGATCGTGGCTTCGAAGGGATGGACCGGGCTTCATCCAAACTCACAAGAATTTTTTTATTTTTTTTAATTGTTCGATGGGGAGTGAAGGAGGACTTTTTTTTTTGTGGTTCACGATGTAGTTCAGATGACCGGAAAAATATCGTTCGGCGTCTCAGACCGGCCCGGTCCCTCACCGAGCGCCCAACCGTCAACATTCGGACCATCGGGGAGGCGGCAAAAAAAAAATGATGGACCATTTCCGGATGTTAGGGAGAGTGCGGTGCAGACCGTCTCCTCTCCAAAAAGAACTCGATGTGACAAATTTGGTTTTCGGATCTGCCGCCGGCTTTGCCGTGAGCAAACGTAGCAGGAGTGGAAAGGCCACGTCTATTTTCCAATATTTCCCCTTTGGTTCAAGTGGCTTTGGACCTGGTGCCCAAGAACGAGCCAGGACATGTCACACGACGCGGCCAGACCGACAAGAATTCGGACGCGCCGGACTCGTCAACTATGTCATGTGACGCGTCGAATCCCAAATGGGCCACGAGACGCCACCTCGCTCTGCGAGGCGTCCGTCGGCTCCGAATCGGGTTCCGTTTGTGTCATTTGACGTCGGCATAACTCACACAATGTGCAAGTCATGAGACCCGGGCCTCGACTTACGACGACAAAACAATCAAGCAAGCGCAGGCCCCGCTGCTCAAAAAGTCAGAACGTGAATTGGGCAAGTCATCAAATCTTGCTCAGTCACAGCATATCTTGGAGAGACAAGAACACGCGTTTTGCTATCGATTAAAAAAATAAATAAAAAAAAGTCCACTTGTGAATGAAAGACAACACAGCTGTGACTCACGCACGCACACACACAGACAGAGACATTTTCTCAACAAACTGGCAAGTTGGCATCACGAGAGCGAGTTCAAAGCGTTTCTCACCAAGAAGTGTTGCAAAGGGTCTCCAAGCTTGGTGAAGGCTGGAAAGCTTCTGCCTGGCCCCTCACCCTCTTGGGCTGAACTCGCCCACGTCGCTTCCCTTGTGCGTAGCAGTGGGCGTTGTTACAGCGGTGGGCCGGACGCCGCTTTGTCTGATGACAGGCAGTCCCTCTTTGAGAAGCACATGTGGAATCTGAGGTCTTGGTCCGGGCTGGCCCTCAGCTGGGAAAAACCAAAGACGTGATCGACGCCGGCGTGACAAACATTCCTTTTCGCCGTCATGTTCTCCGCTTCTCTTCACCCCGACCTGGCTCGCCGGCTCCGAGGCAAACCGCTCGCTCATCCCTCCTCAGTTTGGCGTTGGCGGGAAGATGTCGACTCGCCGACAGCCCGTCCGTCACGCTCGTATTCAGCAGAGCGCCAGGCGTTGGCGGGAAGATGTCGACTCGCCGACAGCCCATCCATCCGTCACGCTCGTATTCAGCAGAGCGCCACGCGGCCCCGCCCGTTTACGAAGCTGAAAGGGAAGCACAACTCGACAACTTTGCCGAGATGCAAACGCAGCTTGGACAAGATGCGTTCTTTGGTTCGGTCCGGCTGCTCCTTGTCAACGGAGCACAAAAAAAAAAGTCCAGAGGAAACCTCATTTTCGCGTCCATCCCTCGAGCACTTTTGGTCTTTGCACAGGTGGAGAGTAAAGGTCGGCATTTTTCTGTCCTCTGATTAGGCTGAGCTCAATAGTCTTGTGATGGGCTCAACGGATGAGGGAGGAGGACCGAGAAGAAAAATCCATTTTCCGGGCAGGCGATTCCAGAACAACTGGACATTTGTGAGGAAAAGGTTGCTGGCTGACGTGTTGTAAACCTGGAAAGGGATTTAGTCGCCGCTTCCACAGCGCAAACGAGCGAGCGGGAGGGAATGAAGGCCCCAGCTCCCAAATGTTCCGCCGGCCACTGAACATGATGATGAATAAATCATCTCACCAAAAACATCAACTGACAATGGGCTGTTTTCATCAGTGGCGATGCCAAAGTTGTCCTCCCATCTGAGTTGAGCATGTTGTGGCCACCAAATTGTACGTTGCAGCTATTTGGTGGCCGAAAACGAGTCACAGCACCAAGTTGTGGCCACAAAGGGGGTGTGGCGCGCATGACGCACTTTTTTGCGGCCGCAAAGGAGCTCAGAACAGAGCAACAGCACAGCTCGACCGCCGGGTGCCCGGCCTCGGCCCCGAAATCGACCATTTCCGACCCGAAGGGGGAGGAAATGTGCCCACTTCGAACCTTGGCTTGCAAGTTGAAATCAACAGAAGCCGCCCGTCAATAAAAGAAGACGCGCTAACCGGAAGGTCGTGGTCACAAATGGAGCGGGCGACCGCGACTTCCGAAGATGACGGACGCTCTTCGGACAAGAGAAGTTCCTCCCCCCCATAAAAACCCAAACAGCGACGCCGAGAAGGAGGCCGTTGTCCGCGCTATGTCGTCCGAAACTAAACGAGGCGAGACGAGAAGCCCGTCGAATCATTTGAACACGGAGCAGCCGAGGGTTCGAATGGAAGTCGCGCAAATGCGAGCTCTTAGCGCAGCCGGCGGTTATCGTCGCTCGTAACAGCCACCGGATGAAAGCAGCGATCACTCGGATCGTCTTTTGCTCACTCGGTCGCATTTACAAGTAGCCGGGATGCTAACGTCGCATGTCGGACCCGAACTTCCGTTTTATTTTCACTACATTACAGTACAGGGCGTATTTATTATTGGCGCATTTCTTAGTAATGTTATTTTAGTCTATATTTGTTGTACAGTTGAATAACGCAATTTGAAATGAATGGGACAAAAAAAATCCATGTTCGTGACTCGATCGCCATCTTTGCTGTCAGGAACAGTGCTTTCAAACTGACGATGACAAAAACGGTTGCCCGTCCGCATACGGCGTGTACTGACCTCAACTGGTTCGGGGCCAAGGTCATAAACGGTCACGGGAAGCGCTGGATCTGAGGGGAACCTCAGCCCGGCTGGCAGGAACCGGGTTCCACGTCTGCCCGCTAGATGGAAATCTTGCCACGCGAGCCACCCGAATGGGAGGTCGTGGCATTAATGCAATGTTTACGTGTGTGTGTGTGTTTGTGTGAGTGAGTGAGAGAGAGAGAGAGAAAGGCCTTCTTGTACAAGCGGGCGACCAAAACAGCTTGCAATCAGCACAGTGGGGTGCCTCGTCCGTTCTTGGAGCGCCAGTGCTCTGACAAGTAAATTAGGACACTTCTTCCTCCAAATGCAGCTTGTGACAGCGGAGTGGCTCCTCCTGTTACAACATTCCAAATCAGGCGAGCGCAATCATCGCACACTGCCTTCAAATCTAGGAGAAAGGATCTTCACTGATGTTGATGTCTATTTTAACGTCAATCACCAAAAACACTCTCGGGACGCCCTCTGGTAGGAATTCTGCCAAAGTGGGGGGTAATAGCTTGACTGTAGTGCCGGGTGCAAAGGGGACAGAGCCAATGCTGGGTTATTCTTAGCGAGCGCACTGGGTTGAGGATTTGACCCGGCATGCACGTTGGGTCGAGGTTTTGACCCAAAGAGGTGTAAAAACCACCCCTCGTGATGGCCCACCCACCGCGTTATCCGTAGAGCTGTGCTTTAACATAACGCGCTCGAAAAACTGTTGGGTCAAAAAAAACAAAACAATTTGGAGTCAAAATGGAGCAACCGCTACTTAAGTCAATTTGACTCCACTTTTATTTTATTTTTTAAAAACCATGCTGGGCTATTTATACCCAGCCGACTGGGTTGAGGATTTGACCCAACAAGGGATAAAAACTACCAATAGCGATGAGTTAAAGCTTCCAAGAAAAACGGGTTCCCAAGCGATCAGTCCAGCTGTGGTTAATAATAACACCCCCTAAATAGCGTTGGGTCCAAAATAACCCAATCATGTCTCCAAAAGGGATTGATTGCGCCGTTTGTCAGTTTGACCCAATGGTTTTTAGTGGTACGTTTTTGTAGAAAACAATGCAATTTTTTTTTGGGGGGGGGGTCAAATTGGCTCCAAATAGAGTCCAAGTAACCCCGATCCACGAAAAAAGCTACAGCTCCCCAGCCAGTGAGTGGCTCAGGAAAACAAGGCGGCATTTCGGCGTGCGGGCTTCCCGGTTCGGCTCGGCCTCGTCAGCTCACTTGTCGAGCGAGCACTCTGGAAAAGAAAGACGAGGCAAGGTTTGGGCAAACGCCGGCCACGATCTGAACGCGCACCTCGTTTGGAGTTGAGAGTCACGCAACGCGGCTGCCCTGATTGACTCTCATTTGGAGCCTTTTAAGGCTTGAGCGGGAGGCTTTTTGGCCAAAGTGGAGATGCGGGCTGCATTTTCATCTCTCCGAATGCTACGGCAGAAGATAATGCTCGGGTAGATTCTATTAAAGTCTGCCAGCTCTCATTTGAATAATGGGCTTCCCCATACGTGTTTGGTCCTTCCGGCACTTGACCCGGCGGGGACAGAAATGCCATTTTGCTTCGACACCTTCATAAATATTTGAGTGGCTTTTCTCTTTTGTGTTTTTTGACTTCCTAATTAGCATGATGGCTGGGGCCTTTGTTAATGTGGAATTTAAGTGTTGCTGAAGGGAAGAAAATCCTTTCATTTGGAAGAAATTATCCATTGTGCAACTCGAGAAAAACACACTCGCTATTTTGTTTGCCCCCGCCCCCTCTATTGACAACAGATCAACTCCAGCAGTGGTTCCCAAACTTTTTACACAAAGCGCCACCGAAAAACATTCTTCGCTCACCACATGCCACCATCATGATCAACATTTAAATGCAGCAGAACAAAAAGCCAAAGCGTTCATTAAAAAAAAAAAAAAACATCCTGGAACATCATGCATAGTTTTAACTCATGATGAAAAGTAAAAGCATTGTCCGTGCATCCATTATGTGAACCGCTTTATCCGCACGAAGGTGGCGGACGTGCTCATGACACATCGGGACAAGTTCGAGGTGTCATTTAAGCGACTGGAGTACCCGGAGAAGACCCTCAATAGAAAGCTATTTCATTCAAAGAAACACAATGTAGCGAAAACAAATGTTGAAAGACAAACTGAAAAAGGAAATGCAAATGCACTGGACCCAAAAGTTCAATACAATGGAAATGTACTTAAACGTGTACTGAATATGATCTCCCCTCATTTTTCTTTTTTTTCTATTTTTTTTTTCAAATATGTTCGATTGGGATCCTGGTGAGGAGAAGCGGATCAGGTGGGGGCTGGGTGGATGATGTCCTTTATTTTTATTTCACATATAAATTATAAACATATTTATATATAAATATATATGTATGCTTTTTGTAATTTTATGTAAATTTTAGCTCTGTGTGTGTGTGTGTGTGTGTGTGTTCAATGCACTACATGAGAGAGGAAAGTCATTTCATCTGTGCTGTATGTTCCATTGAAAGCATATTTGACAATAAAAGCTGACTTTTGACTTTCATTCGGTCCAAACATCTTGTCATTCTTTTGCGTGCCGCTAGAGGGGGCCCGTGTCTCACTAATACGAAATGGGCTCCCGCCACACTTTTGCAGAAGCACAGAAAAGGTCAGCAGTGGTCCCGGAAAGCCAAGCGGCGGCGTTTCTATCGAACCGGACGGGCCAGCCAGAGGCCACATTGAAGTCGCATTAGTTTGTCGAACCTGCTCGAACGCACACAAACGCCTTTCACGCGTGCCCACCAAGCGGCTGCCGTCCAAGCGAAAATGAACCTCGAAGGCCGCAGGTGGCAAACTCAATTCTGGCCGGTGGTGGTGGAGCCCTCCAATGCCATTTCATCAAAAGCGCCCACGCAGAACAAAAGAGGTAAAGCGACAAAGGAGCACCGTTATTGAGCAAAATCACCCCACCCCTCCAAAAAAAGAGTTAATAAAAATAAAATCAGATCATACATTCGCATTCACATAAATTGCAGCCAAGAAAAATGCTCCCACGCGGTTAATAGGCTGTTAAGAATTTCACGCAACATGAGAATTGGTTGGAAATGTAGGTCAGTGCTTGCGACTGCGTGCTTTGATTAAAAAAAAAAAAAAATGCAAATTGGCGTTTTCCAGTGGACGGAGATGAAAAAAGATCATTGCCGACGACTAAAAAGACTCCCATGTTGAAAACAGTCTTGATTTTTGTTTTTTCTTTCAGGGGTTACACAGTCAGCCAGAGTGGTGACGTCAGCCCAAATCATCAGATAGCTTTTCCGAATGGCGTCAGCTTCACGCTCCAGCGTTCATTGGCCTCGGCCGTTCCTGGAAAGGCAGAGAGAGGAGCCGATGCCGCGGATGACGAATCCCCCTCTGGACGTCAGCCTTTCCGGCTGAGTGCGTCCGGTGGGCCAGAGCCAGGTCCTGGAATGTAGCTAATGAGACAGCCGCGGGACTCCCGGCACGCCATTGGTGGAGGGGCTGGCGGCGCCCGAGACGATTGGCTGACGGAGCGGCCGTCAAGCCGGCGGCTTTCGTCGGCCGGCGGAGCGACTATTTGACCACGGAAATGTTTGACAAGGCCAAAAAGACGCAAGTCCGGCAGAACCGTGCTGCGGTACAAAGGCGACAGAGAAATGAACATCCGAGCAACGACCCTCCCACTGAAAAATATACGAATCAACAACACAAAAATGCCATAGCCCGGTCGCAGTAAATACAAATGATACCGAGATACATTTGTTGAAAAAAACTGCTTGAAATTGCAAGCCTTGTATTTCAATACGACCCAACATTACACCTATACGTGTGTGTGTGTGTGTGTGTGTGTACAAAACCAATTCCAATGAAGTTGGGTAAAAAAAAGGAGGTTCCCCGAATTGCTCAGTCATTCACAGGCAAAGATGAGGCGAGGGTCACCTCTTTGTCAACGACGGTGTGAGAAAATAGTCTCAGGATAAGGTTTCCAAATGACAAGGAATTGAGGCATTTGGGTCTCTCCGTGCTCTCATCTACGATGGACTGATGCAATGCGGGAAAGTGCTCTGTGGTCTGACGAGTCCACATTTCAAATTGGTTTTGAAAATGGTGGACGGCGTGTCTTCTGGGCCAAAGAGGGCCATCCGGACTGTTCTGGACGCAAAGTTGAAAAGCCGGCATCTGTGATGCTATTGGGCTGTGCATACACACACACACACACACACACACACACACACACACACACACACACACACACACGCAAAGTGTTTTTCATGGAAGCTCTGCTTATTTCAGCAAGGCAATGCCAAAGCACATTCTGTTCCAACAGAGTGGCTTCAGAGTATAAGAGTGCCAGATTTGCCTGCCTGCAGTCCAGACCTGTCTCTCATTGAAAATGTGTGGCGCACTGTGAAGCCTTTAATACCAAAAAAAAAATCAATAATAATAATCAGATGCTGGCCCAGTGAACAGCAGAAGCTGAACATCAAGCAAGAATGGGAAAGAATTCCAGCGACAAAGCTTCAACAATTAGTGTCCTCACTTCCCAAACATTCCAACAAAAGGTGACTAACACAGTGGCCACCAACGGAATCAGAATCATCTTGAGTGGCCAAGTATGTCGAACACACGAGGAATTTGTCTCGGCCGCCCTCGTATTGCAATCACATGCAACTGCGATAAACGACGACGGGTACCGTTGTGCCGTCGTAGCGCCCAATGACAGCCGGGCGACAATGCGCCGAGTCGTCCAGCAGAGATCAAACCACCGGCGGCGCGATACGATTCGAGCGGCGTGATCGCGTTTGGGCTGGACGACGGCCTGTCCAAATGAAGCTCCTCCCCTCCACTCGGCATAGTTCTTTGCTGAGCGTTTCCTCTGGAATATTGGCCTTCCCCTTGCCAATAATCAAGTCGTAACAGCTGCTACGAGGGAGGCTTCTTTTCTCCGCCGCTTTGATCTCTTACTTGGCTGGGGAATAAATAATAAAGACGGTTCTATGGACGTTATTTATTCAGTGAGATATCTAAGAGGACAATGAGAGCAACATGCTGCTGACATGAATAAAACAGCATTTGTTACGATGCGCCACAGCCGCGGCTTCTCATCCGGAAGGGCCCGCGCATATTTCGAGCATGACTGCTTTGAAGCGGAAGCGTGAAAGGACTCTTTTGCAATTTGCCAGATTGTCGCGACCGCGCGGACGGCCGCGAAAACCTCAGCGATGGCGAGGAAGTACGAAAAGGACCCCCGCCGCCACTGTGACGGCGGGCGCGGGCGGGAGGCACGCGTCAAAGGCTTCTGACAAGCGACGGCGGTCGTGAGCCTGAGCGACTTTGAGCGTTTCCATCTCCGCCGGCCGCTCGGCACCGCGACGGGAGGGGGGCCGGGGTTCAGCCGGAGGTCGGGTTGCACCGTGAGCATTCCGCGTCCTCCGATCAGCTCGTGGTGGCAGGTGCCCGAAGGGGGGCCGGAGTGGAGCGAGCGCGGGCCCCGACCGACTGCGACGACCGCGGTTGCCGCGCATCCTCGCGCGGGGGCCGACGATCCGCAAAGATCTCCGGTCGGTCCGAATGCCCGGCGGCCGGGCTCGGGAGTTCCATGTGCAGCGCCGAGCGAAAAACGATGTCCCGCTTGGGCTCCGTTACCTTCATGAAAGTTGGATGGGCGAGGTGATGAAATATTGAACTCCGCGTGGCTCGGGGTCGTCAATACCATCGTGCGCTCCCCACCAATTCATCGTGTCCGAGACCAGGTCAGCGGCGCCCCGTGCCCACGACACTTCAGGTGGTGTTGACGGTGCACAACTTCCCTCCCCTGGGCCGGTGGAGCACAATTTCTTCCAAGCCTTCCCCAAGTCCTCCCAACCCAATCCAATGTGTCGTGTTTGATTGGGAGGACAGTTGAATGGCACCGAAAGAGGCTCAGCAGCCTCGGTGACGACGGCCCTCGCTTGCACTCGTGTCCTTGGCCCGTCGGCGGCCGCGCCAGCGTCTCATCGCGAGCACGACATCATGAAAAATGCACACGCCGGCCTACGGCGTGCCGAGCTGCGTTAGCGACGACGATGTAAGCCGATCCATATCCATTACCGCGGCTCGCGGGGTGAAGAGTTCACGCCGGAGCTCTCCACATCTGCCCCTGTTGTCATGGCAACCGCACGCCCGCAACCTTTCCGAGCCTCCCTCCTCAATCTGCTCGCACGCGGCGACCATTTAGCACCAACTACGGCACGGTGACGTCAACCGCGCTTTTCGGACCCGCTCGGCGTGGATCTGCCATCAATTTGAAATGCCGCGCCCAAAGAATCCCGTCCACGTTGTGTTTTTCATATCTTATCGCGACGAGCTTGCGCAGCATCCGAGGCAGCTCGCGGAAGCGAAACGTTCGGCCAAACGTGCGCCGGCGATGATGTTGCCGGCTGACTTGACCTCCGTTTGTGACGTCGTCTGTGCTCTTCCCGAGGACTCTTTATGTGTGCGCACTTTGACGGGGTTCAATTAAGGGTGACAAATTCACACAGAGTCGCCTGCTGATGTCTTTGGATGCGAGGAGGAAAAAAAAAAAACCTCGGAAAAGGTCACGGTCAGCTTGCAGTATTGAGCTGTGAGTTGGTGGGATTACTGAGAGATGATTAGAGCTCAACTGGAATGAGCTACTTTCTGTACTTACACACACACACTCAGTATAATAATGCGTACTTGATTTCTTTCTTGGTTTGTGTCATGACTGTGCGCTTTTGCGGACATCTGTATTTCGAAAACGATTGCATTTGTCATATTGTATTTGGAGGGAATATAAAGTGCTCTTTCTTGACATTATTGGTTGCGAGCGCGTTTTTCACGGCGGAAAAGAGACGACTTTTCAGGAGCGAGCGGCAGCAGCTCAGAGAGAGGGAGGCTTGAGAGAAGTCCGATCCAAAAGAGGAAGTGTGAAGCAGATCAAGATGACGAAAAACGGGCCTGATGGGGATTCTTTTCTCGGCGAAATCGAAGGACTGCGGGACCCGGAGGCCGCAGGGCAGCCGGGTCCCCGCGCGCGGTGCATTCACAGTTCAGCGGCATCTCGACCTAAATGCGATGTGACGGGAGAACCTTTCCTGATGCAAGCGAGCGGCGTAGTAGGATCAGGGAGGGCTGACCGAGCTGTGAACCGCCCGGCCAACACCGAGCAAATTACCAACGGCAGAAATAGCTCGGCGGCGAGGCGAGGCCGATTCCGGGGTGCCCGGGGGGCGCGTTTGACTCGGGAGCCCTCCGACGGCAGCTTCGGCGGGCCGATTGCCGCCTCAATCTCATCCGCGCGGGGCCTCGGCAACCGCTAGTGTCGCCCCCCACGTCACTTCCACCGAATGAGCGATGGCGCTCTCTGGCCCAACCGGACATCAGATTTGCCTCACGGAGCGAGGTCAGCGTTTTTCTGTTCCCGTTGGTCGGTCGGCGCCAAATCGGGCCAAAGCACGCCTCACATATGTTGCTCATACAATCCAATCCGTCGTGATTGATATCGCGCTTTCGCAACAGCTGCAACAAAGCGCTTTACGAAACAGTTCACATCAAGTGAATAAGAAACACGACACATCAGCACCTCGGGTCAGTTTGCGTCATTGCGTTTTGAGTGCCATTTGAGAAACATCCGATTCCAAACTGCTCCGGACGATGGACATGAGCGACGGTCTTCCGCCGCGTTTTTGCTCTCATGTCGGTTTCTTGAATCGCACTGGAAGACTGGCGCCATTAAAAGGTGGATTAGGTTGGCCTTTCTGAAGGCCACGAAATGGCGCACTCGAGTCACTCGGGTGGACTCAAATCGGAATGAAAAGTCTTGGACATGCTTGGCTAAAACCTATTCGACTCGACATTCCTGAGATTTCACTTGATGAATACCGAAACCACATGTTTCCACATCTGGAAATCTGTCAGCACCGGCTAGCACGCCATTTGTTTCGTTTGGAAACATTTGGGGGGCAAGCATGCGAACTACTACATCCAAGAGCTCCTCTATTCCACCGGCACACCTGTTCGAGGCAACTGTGGCGGGCTCAAAGCCATCGGCGCAGTGAAAAAGCCCCTCGTGGTGGGGGGGGCCAGGTAACCCGGGGTGGATCGGAGCGGCCTGGAGTTCCTCAAGGCTCCGGATGTTGCGGGGCTGGACACGCCTCAGCGACGTCGCGTGGACATCGGTCACAATGCCTCTGAATTGGCAGAGCGTGGTGGTGCCCGCCCCCCCCTCTTCTTGACTGGGAGGGCGTGTCCCACCTACAGGGGAAAACACTCCTCAGTCCCCCGGGTCACGTCTACTCTGGGGCGCTGGAGAGGTCCATCGGAAGGTCGAATTTCAGATTCAGGAGGGGCGGCGCGGTTCCCGGCCGGCTCTCCGCCGATGAAGAAGGCGTCGGACCGCGTCCCTCCGGGAGGTCCGTAGCGGCACGGGCGACCGAATCCTCCTGACGCAGCGTCAGGAGTTTGCTCGGCAGTGCCGAGATCGTTTTCAGTGACGTCTGCCGGTTGGCAGCAGAGTATCAAGCGGCGGGGGGGGCCGTATTAGCGCTCCGGATGGTGACGACTCGCCATCGCGAGCGGCGCCCTGCCGAGCGCGCCATCTGCGTACGTGTCATGAGACGATGGGCCCAGCGTCGACCCGCTGTCCAGCCGACTTTGCTGCATTTTTGCACTTCCTTTGAAGCGTTCCCATCGTGCACACGTGGATGGCGCGAGCTCGAGGTGACACACGCAGACGCTTCATGACTGCGCCGGAGAGGATTTTTATCGGCGTGGCCGACAACATTGAACCACAGCCCGCCGTTCCTCTCGCGTGAGGTGGCCGAGGGCCGCCTGCTTTCTGCTCCCACGCACGCACGTCGACATTGGGCGGAAGTGAAGCGACAACGAATGACATCGCGGACAAAAGGTGTGACCGGCCCGCGACCTCCTCCTCCTCCTTCCCGACACATGACTGACCTTGACGCAGCCATCATGTGATTTTTTTTCTTGTGGCCTCGCTCCACCCTGGTCCCTCGGGTGTGTGAGGACCGGCTCAGAATGGGAGGGGGGCGGTTGGCAGGATGTCCGTCAAGTCCAGTGACCGCTGGGAGACCGCCTCTTGCTTTTCACAGTTATGCGACGCGCAAAGGTTTGCGATCGTGGACTTTCGGGGAACATGAGGCGACAATGCCCACGGTACCACTGATCAATCGTTACGCGTCATCTCGATCCCATCATGTCAACATGTGAAGCGCCGGCGAAGGAGTCCCATTTAAATACCCGTTCTGATCGGACCGGGAAATCCCATTCATGAATCAAGTACCGAACCAAACGTACCGAAGCACCGAGCCGTCGGACATCAGCAATAAAAGTGAAGAGGTCAAATCTCGTTCGACTGTCGGGGTGATGCACACTCAGACAAACGCTGGGTTGGTTTGCGCAGCCGCTCAGTGGCTAGCTGCGGGCGTGTGGGCTTACTTTGACACCAGCTTGGGTTCGCCATTTGGGCCCAGGACGTTGGATTTGGACGATCGACCGGGATTGGGGATCAAATCCCGCTGAACCCCAGCTCCACCGATAACCTGGGAACCCGATTTCTCGGTCCCTTCATCTCATCAGAACGGGTCCTTTTTACTCCCCCGGCTGGGTCGGAATCTTGACCTGATGTTTTGGGTCAAATCCACAAGCCCACCGACTGGGTACAGACCTGAGTCGGCCCCTTCTGAAGTCGGCGCTGGGCTCGCCGCTCATGCTCCCTTTTGACCCGGCAAGCTGAAAAGCGTGCTGCGTTTTGGCTTGAACCCGGAAATCCTCCCGGAAGCTCAATCCCCGATCTTTTCGGGGTGGTGTTGAGCAGAACGCCATCGAGATCCCTCCCGGCGTCAGCGCCCGTGCACAACGTCCCCGCGAGAGGGGCCGGGCAGCGATGCCGAGGGAGGTCGGCTTGCGGACGCCGTCCTGGGGTTGAGCCGCCTCGTGACTCCAAGCTTCCGAACGTGCCGAAGAGGGAGGGAGGGAGGCGCGCATAGCGTCGGAGGAGCGAGCGGCAAGGCGAGAGGCCGCTCTCGGAGCGGAGCGATGAGGGAGGCATTTAGCGCACTTACAGAGCACATTTGGAGCCCCCTGAGGCCACGCGGTCCCGGGCAAGGGACATCATTAAATAGGAAAAGACGTCCAGGGCCGTCTGCTCGCTCCTCCTCTCCTCTTCATTTCATGACTTCCGGCTTGGGAGTTCACCCAACTCGTCGGTAGAGGGCGGCAGAGTCGTCAGAAAATCTCCCACAAATGCTGCTCATCCTGTCAACGGCCAATCCATCATCAGCGCTTGTGCCACGTCTTTTTTTTTTTACTTTGTCTCACTCTACTGAAAACTGTCTCCACTTTTGATCAAAATAGCTCGAGAGAGGATTTCAGCGAAAAAAAAAAAGAATGTAAACAGGTGTAGTAGAGCCACAAGCAACATTTCAGGGGTTGCATTTTTTCCCCCTCGATCTTTGACCTGTTGCTTATCATGCAACGCAAGTGGACCATCGGGGGGCATTTTGGCAACTCACACACCAGGTGACACAACGTGCTCTGCGACAGAAAAACTGAGACCCCGCATTGGGTTTTGAGGCTCCCGTCGTTAGCCTGACAGCATGACGATCAGTGGGCTTTTTTTTTTTTACGCTTTCCAAAAGCAAGCAGGCCAATAATGCCACAAACAATAACAGGCGGGTTGCCTTGATTCTACTCTGCCCATGACCAGGATGACTCTGAGAATCATCTTTTACACTCAGAATGCGCCACGCCGTTTTTAATGAGGCGGCATTCATAATCGGCAGGATTTGGCCTGGCGTTCGTGAGCTGAATTGACAAATCCCAAGCACGTTTCTTTAAGAGTCCCGACGCTACCCCGCCGACGCCCAGTCAGCAGTCGTTCCAAAGATATCGCCAAGCGAGTCCACGGTCCGAAAATTAGCCGGCCGAGTGCCCCGCCCCTGCAAACGAGACATCAGGCAAACATTTGGACACGGAAGGAAAGGGAGTGATACGCAGAAGCGTCAAAGAGTGCACCAAGTCCAACTCCTCAGAGCAGTCAAAAATGATTTTACTCCAATTGCCTGCGATCATTTGCGAGCGCACAAAAATCGAGCAGCTTCTCTCACCAAAGTTTCCCCTTGACATCCTTGGGCTCCGCGCGCATGCGGTGCTCAAATCGGGGTGGGAGGGGCGGGGCAGCGATGCCGAGGGAGGTCGGCTTGCGGACGCCGTCCTGGGGTTGAGCCGCCTCGTGACTCCAAGCTTCCGAACGTGCCGAAGAGGGAGGGAGGGAGGCGCGCATAGCGTCGGAGGAGCGAGCGGCAAGGCGAGAGGCCGCTCTCGGAGCGGAGCGATGAGGGAGGCATTTAGCGCACTTACAGAGCACATTTGGAGCCCCCTGAGGCCACGCGGTCCCGGGCAAGGGACATCATTAAATAGGAAAAGACGTCCAGGGCCGTCTGCTCGCTCCTCCTCTCCTCTTCATTTCATGACTTCCGGCTTGGGAGTTCACCCAACTCGTCGGTAGAGGGCGGCAGAGTCGTCAGAAAATCTCCCACAAATGCTGCTCATCCTGTCAACGGCCAATCCATCATCAGCGCTTGTGCCACGTCTTTTTTTTTTTACTTTGTCTCACTCTACTGAAAACTGTCTCCACTTTTGATCAAAATAGCTCGAGAGAGGATTTCAGCGAAAAAAAAAAAGAATGTAAACAGGTGTAGTAGAGCCACAAGCAACATTTCAGGGGTTGCATTTTTCCCCCTCGAACTTTGACCTGTTGCTTATCATGCAACGCAAGTGGACCATCGGGGGGCATTTTGGCAACTCACACACCAGGTGACACAACGTGCTCTGCGACAGAAAAACTGAGACCCCGCATTGGGTTTTGAGGCTCCCGTCGTTAGCCTGACAGCATGACGATCAGTGGGCTTTTTTTTTTTTACGCTTTCCAAAAGCAAGCAGGCCAATAATGCCACAAACAATAACAGGCGGGTTGCCTTGATTCTACTCTGCCCATGACCAGGATGACTCTGAGAATCATCTTTTACACTCAGAATGCGCCACGCCGTTTTTAATGAGGCGGCATTCATAATCGGCAGGATTTGGCCTGGCGTTCGTGAGCTGAATTGACAAATCCCAAGCACGTTTCTTTAAGAGTCCCGACGCTACCCCGCCGACGCCCAGTCAGCAGTCGTTCCAAAGATATCGCCAAGCGAGTCCACGGTCCGAAAATTAGCCGGCCGAGTGCCCCGCCCCTGCAAACGAGACATCAGGCAAACATTTGGACACGGAAGGAAAGGGAGCGATACGCAGAAGCGTCAAAGAGTGCACCAAGTCCAACTCCTCAGAGCAGTCAAAAATGATTTTACTCCAATTGCCTGCGATCATTTGCGAGCGCACAAAAATCGAGCAGCTTCTCTCACCAAAGTTTCCCCTTGACATCCTTGGGCTCCGCGCGCATGCGGTGCTCAAATCGGGGTGGGAAAACGCGGCGGTCGAAGACAGTCCGGCCGAGGGGATGGCGGGCGGTTCCGCGGACCGTCGGGGCGGCCGCCGCTTTGGAATGGCAGCCATTTGAATACGTGCCGAAACCGCCCGACGACTCCCAGGGGTGTGAGAAATATTCATCCGCCAACACGACCGCAGCGGGCAACCCGGGGACGAGACTTCAAGTTGCGTCTGGCAAAAATCCCACTTGAAGGAGACGGTCCGATGCGGCAGGTCGT